GTGTCAAGGCCGTCTCACTAGCTCGTATGTCACGGCCTTGAATTTTTACTCCCAGAGCGCGTAAAGAAGTTTTACTCCAAAATGTTTCAATCATGTCCTAAAATTGCATTAGCAACTAGAAATATTTACTATTCTATTATATAATTATAATTACCTATTTATTATATTATATTATAATTATAACAAGTACTAACCACAACACTACAATATAAAAAAAACTATACACATATAAACTAAAATTCGTAATATAAATGGTAAATAATAATTATTATTATTTTTACACACACCACTGACACTAGCAGTATCTTGTGTTTGTATACGAATATATGCCCCGGCCCGTCCACAATTCAATCCCAGCATCATTTATCTTCGTCTTTTCAACGCTAACGGCGCCGATCTCGCCTATCTCTTTCTCACAGGATTGATTGTTGAACGGGCCGGGAATCCACGAGCTTGCGACGTTACTAATTGACATCTTGATAGAAACTGCAAACCTGCCGCGTCTTTTGCGTGTTTTTAATGGACACAAATCGAAAAAAACGCTTAAAACTGTAAAACCGCAAAAAGCGCTTGAGACGCAAAAAACGCAAAACGCTAAAAACGCTTTCTGTGTGGCCGTGGGCTAATGGTGCGTTTAGACTTGAGCACGCACGAGCTGAGCGTGCGCGCACGGCATTCGTTCGCGCTCTCGGCTTCGTTCAAATTAAAAACTTATTTTTCGACGAATGAAGTGATCCATTGTGCGCACACAGCAGAGTTGTGTTGGCACAAAATAATGGACGACCAAGAAATAGTCGAGGCTGAAGTCATTGTTATGCACAGCTTAATTATTAAAAAGAAGAAAAATCGAAAACATCGTCGCTGGTGGCAAACCCAAATTTTTAAATATCGATATAATTTACTGCAACAACTTAGTGCCTGAGGAGGGCTATGATCAGTTCAAAAACTTTACAAGAATGACCAGGCCCGACTTTAAATATTTACAAAATTTAATAACACCAAAAATTACGAAGAAAAGATACAAATTTTAGAATAGCAATTTCATTAATATCGACATATTCAATATTAATTTTATTTACAAGGTTTTGAAATGCGTTATATTTTTTTTGATTTTTTTAATAATACAAAGAATAGAGAACAACGGTATACGGTCGAGTCGGCCTACAAACACGTAAACCAGTGATACCCAAAGTGGTCCAGGTGGACCCCCAGGGGTCCACGGGAGACTTGCTGGGGGTCTACGTAGGCGTGAACAAAAAATGGGGGTCCATAAGATGTTAATGGGGGTCCACGAAAATTTATCTGCTTTTGATAGTAAAGAGCAAAAATGTAAGCATAGTTTTTATAAGGGCCTACCTACATTGTTTTAAGTACCTATCTAAGCAGATAATATTTTAATAAGGCAAGCGACTGTTACTTGTCCAAACTTGCGTATTCGATATTACGTACAATTTCGTGTACAGACTTGCAAAGCGCTATCCGCCCGACAATGCTTAATGCTTGTTCAGACATGAACTTGATCACCACTATAAATACTTGATGCCAAAGGCAAACGCATTCATTTGTTTCCGGAATTTCGAAAAAAAGGCGGAATTTGGAAAAAAAGTTGTGAGAAAATTTATATCTGTGTTTGCTAGTGCCGGAGAAAAGTAAGTAACCTACCTTTTTTTGTTATAGTACTTAAGTATTTTGTTTACGTGTACTAGTCGGTTGATCACAACGGCCTGTATAGATAGGTAACTTAGTAACTTACAGATATTTTAATTGTCCTCTTTCGATTTGAAGACAAACACAGCACGTTTTATTCAATTGTTTTTTCACGAGAGAAACACTGCCTCTCTAAAAAGGCCGAATAAGCAATATTGCAGAGCAATTAATTTTGTAATTTTTCTTGCAAATAACTACTAATTTTATAAAACAGTAATTTCATAATCATTTTAAATTGGTTTTGAAGTAACTATTTTATCAAAACTATTCCTTTTCGGAAAGAGCGAGCGGTGCGCGGGCGACGGGAAAAGGGCGGGGCTTGGACTTCGATGCCAGTTTGTCACGTTTTAACAATGAAGCCGCAGACAAAAATACGCAAATACACGGAGCGCGTGAACTCATTGATTTAATAAAATGTTAGTTATCGTTTTATGGACAATTTTGGGATTTCGACTTTTATTTTTTCCTACACAAATATGATCAGTATTCGATACTGAGTACACCAATTTTTATTTATACTATTAAAAATTAGTGGTAAATTATGTACTTTAAAATTGATACCGTTTTGTGAAAACGTCTGTATTTGTCTCAACGGTTTATTAGTTGGTCCCTTTACAAGCCGTAATTCTATTTCCGCGTGCTGACAAAGGCTGCGGTGTGATACCTATATTCAGAAAAAAACTTGGTTACTAAAACATTTTTTTTTACAGGTAAGGTAACTGACACGAAACATGGCTACAGCAAAGAAAAAATGTCGACAATATAGTATCGATTATTTGAAATATGGTTTTGTTCCATCAGAGGCAGACAAACAATTGCCCATGTGCCTATTATGCAACAAAGTTTTGAGCAATGACTCTATGAAACCATCAAAGCTCGAAGATCATCTAAAAAGGTGTCATACTGATAAAATAGGTAAAGATTTAAAATATTTTCAAACATTGAAAGAAAAATATGGAAAGAGACCCACCATGCACAGTATGTTCGCTTCAACATCTCAAAGTAACGATGATGGCTTGCGGGCATCTTACAATATCTCATTACTTATAGCAAAATCTGGAAAACCGCACACTATCGGAGAACAATTAATTTTACCCGCTGTTGAAGAGGTTTTAAAAACTGTTTTGCACAAATCTCCATTTGACGTACTAAAAAGAATTCCATTAAGTAACAATACTGTACAAAGACGCATTGATGAAATGAGCTCTGATATCGAAAGCTTTTTGTGCAATCATCTGCAAAAAACTCATTTTTCTATACAACTGGACGAGTCAACGTTACCCAGTAATGAAGCATTACTATTGGCATATGTCCGATTTATTGTTGAGGAAGAAATTCACGAAGAATTGCTATTTGCCAGAACTTTGGAGACTGACACTAAAGGCGAATCAATATTTAATGTCCTGAGTAATTTTTTTACGGAAAAATCGATCCCATTTACAAACATTATTTCAGTGGCAACAGACGGAGCTCCTGCAATGGTCGGGCGATATCGTGGGTTTATAAGTCATCTCAAAAGAATTATACCAGGACTTACAGCTATTCATTGCGTAATCCACCGACAACATCTTGTGGCAAAACATTTAAGTGACAGGTTGAACCAATCTCTTCATTTTGTAATAAAAGCTGTCAACAAAATCAGAAGCAATGCATTGAATACGCGTTTATTTGCTCAATTGTGCGACGAAAATGATGAAGACTTCCAACGACTGCTCTTACATACTGAAGTACGCTGGTTGTCGAAAGGTGCATGCTTAACGAGATTTTACTCTGTTTTCGATTCCATATTAGAGTTCTTAGAAAGTAGAGATCCAGATTTAAAAGAAAACTTGATCAAATTCAAAGCAGACATTGCGTATTTGACAGATTTGTTTAAAAAATTTAATGATATTAACTTGCAGTTACAAGGGGACAGCCTGAATTTAATAAAAACAAAGGGGATAATTTCGGCTTTTCTTGGGAAATTGAAATTTATGAAGCAAAACATTAGTCGGCGCGAATTCTCTCAATTTCCAAACTTGTCGCAGGTAGAATGTATTGATGAGGATATCCATACCTACAGTCAACATTTAAGTGCTCTGCATGATGACTTCAAAACCAGGTTTGAAGATATACTGACGATGGATATACCACCATGGATCATAAATCCATTTGATGAAACGGAAGTGGCCAATGTTGTATTACAAGAGGAGCTGCTCGAGCTAAGCACTAATGAGGAGCTGAAGGTGAAATTTAGAAAAGGCTACCCAACATTTTGGCTGCAAGCAGAAATACCCGAAAAATATCCTGGACTGTGGGAAATCGCAAGGAAATTTTTAATAGCTTTTCCCTCGTCATACCTTGTCGAAAGGAGTTTTATGCCGTTACAAACCTTAACAAAAAAAAGGAGCAAATTAAACATCACAGAGCAGGGGGGATTTGCGGTTATTGCTCACAAAAATAAAGCCAAACATTGATCGTTTGCTGACACTCCATCAGATACATCCTTCCCATTAATTAAAATTATGACCTGAACCTATATTACCTTAATATTTTTCTTGTAATTCTATTCTTTTAATAAATAAAGTGATATAAAATGTACCATTTTTCGTTTTTATTTTACATATCGGAATATAGGGACAGAACTCAGAAGTGACACAATTTTTATTTTTTGGCGACTTTAAGAATGTGGTAGAAATGTAGCAGCAGGGGGTCCACCGAAACCAGTAAAATTTTGAAAGTGGTCCACGAGAAAAATAAGTTTGGGAACTACTGACGTAAACGTTTACGTACGCATGCGCATTTCTTATATTTTTTATTTTTTATACACGTAAAAGATTCTTTACGTCTACGTCTACGTGCCAGCAGCGGCCGACTCGACCGTATGCCGTTGTTCTCTAATGTTTAACATCCCATAATATAGGCAACTTTTCATATTTTTTAATTAATAATAAATAAGATTCATTGATCCACTCCATGATTTTAATAAAGAAAACGAAAAAAAATCACACACGGACGCACGAACGCAGACAAAACAAATTGCCGGTCCAAATTGAGCGTTCGCGCACACATAAAATCCCTTTGAGCACGGACCAAAAACCCACACCAGACGGCTCACGTTCGCGGCCGCTCGCGCACAGACAGATTCAGAGTGAGCGTGCGCGCACAGCCGTTTACACTTGAGCATTCGCGGAGGATCAGTGCGTGCGTGCTCAAGTCTAAACGCACCATAAGGCACGAGGTATTTCTGGTTAAACGGTTGAATATTCAGTAATATTAAAGTAATCGAATCAATCCTTGCATTGTCGTTTTAGATTCAAGACTAACAGGTGCGGTGCCTAAATGTTATCATTCTTACGAACCTTCACGGAACAACTCCACAGAGCAAGATTCCGGCGCCATGTCTACATCGGAGGGCGATATCAGAAAGTCCCACCAGGTCATGGTACATTTCTCACCCACAACTGAAGGTTGAGTTTATTTCTTAGAATATTAATGTATGATTTATGTACTGAAATGAATGAACGTGTTTTAAAGTACAGCATGATTAACTATAAATATTATATAGGTAGTTAAAATGTGCCCTTGGCAAAGTAGTAAGTCTGATATGGCGCTATTTTAGCACACAAGCTCACCATGTACAGGGTGGGCCAAATTTGACGCTTTTAAAGGAAAACACCTTTTTGTATAGGAGATAGACGAAAATTAAATCGGTGTATGGAGCTCAATTTTTATTAAAAACATGATGGTGAAAACCGCACATCGATATCTGTTACCGTTTCGGAGTTACGTGTTTTACAAAAATGTGCATTTTTAACAAATCACTGAAAACGAAATCATTTTCAAAGCTCACCTTTTTACGAAGAATTTAATGATTTAAGTATATATTTTTTAAATTAATAATTTAAGAATTATCAACATAAAATTTTATTTTTTATATGAGACACCCTGTATATTTTGAATTCTCTGAAAAGAATTTAAAATTACCAATGACTAAAGAATATATAAGGACATGTAACGCCCCTATACGGGCTGCAGCAGAATTTGTGACCTTAGAGACCTTTTTTTGGGGACAAATAATGAGCCATCATTTGGTCACTAGCAACAATTTTAGCTATTTTTAATAGTTTGTGTGTAGTAAACTTTGTATAAACTTTATTACAATGGTGATTAGTTGTTCAGCTTTCAAGTGTAAAAGCAGCAGCGATAAGAAAGAGCCAGGAGTTGCGTTTCATAGGTAAATAAACAGTCCACTCCAACTTTTTAGCGTTTTCTTATTGAATTCGATAATTATTCTTCAATTTCAATTAACATCTATATGTACTTGTTATGTGCTATACGTCGATACTAGTTTTGTACCTTTTGTTAACATTTTTATACGTTTTTTTTCGTAATTAGGATGATACACCATAGGCGTAGTCAAAACAATTATCAAAAAATATAAATATTGCTTCAAACGGCTAGGTTAAGAAAAATATGTGCTACGGCACTGTTTTGTGACATCGTCACAATTTGCTCTCGGGTGTTATTTGTCCTTGGATTCTTTAGTCATTGAAAATTACCTTAAAAAAACCTTTAAAAATTACCTCTTCGAGATATAGAGTTTTTCGCTCTCTTTGAATAAGTAGGATTTGAACGGCGCCGGCTGTAATGCAAAAAATTCTAGTTGTGAGCAGCAATTAAAACGAAAATAATATTTGCAATGAGAGATGATGCAGAATTTTATAACAATTTAAACTATATTTAACAACATCAACACGTTTAAACTATATCTGATAACAATAAAAATAAATAGCAAACCAAGACATGAGATTTTGCTACCGGTCGGTGTTCGACATGTCTACCGTCTTCTGTTATGGACAGACGGGATCGTTTTTGAACATTTTTCGCGGAATTCATTAACTCAGTAAGGTGAAAGATAACCCTTAAGCATGAAAGATACCCTCGCATAACCGCTAAGTACTTCTAATTCTTGTCTAGATTATACGGGCAATTTAAAAATAAGAATCTTTATTCTAAAGGTAAAAATCCACAGGCGCTAAATCCGGAGGCCTCGACGACCAACGGCTAGGATCTTGGTGAGCTATTCAATTATTCTGTATTTCGAACGGGACTATAACAAAATATCAAGTGTGTTATATTTTTGGAAAGGTAATTTTAAGTTATTTCAGTTAATTAAAAATATACAGAGTGTCCTAAGTAAAAAATCAATTTTTGCGTCGATAACTCTTAAACTATTAAATTCTACATAGAAATAAGGTGCTTTGAAGATGTTTTCATAAAAATACAAAACGTCCCATAGCAAAAAAAGTTACAGCGATTTATTAAATGTGCACATTTTCGAAAAACACCCAGTAACTCCGAAACGGTAACACATATCGAGGTGCGGTTTTCACCATCATGTTTTTGATAAAAATTGAGCTCCAGACACCGATATAGTTTTCGTCTATCTCCTATAGAAAAGTGTATTTCTATTTAAAAGCGACCAATTTGACCCACCCTGTGCCTATACTATTTATAATTGATAATCCTGTACGCCCCTGATGTAAACTACGTATAAACTTTCCCTCCTGACTCAAACTTGATAGATTGTGATCACTTTCGCGTATTGACAATGTTATAAAATAAAATATCACGATTTAGTCTGAGTTTTATACACATATAAATGAGAAACCAACTTATAATAATCAAAACGAGAGACTCGAGCAATCTTTATATCCATCGTTGTTGTTACATTCCCCCCGTGAACTTTCCGAGCTCACCCTGTATATTAAAATGAAAAAAATATTGTATTAGGAATAAATATATACGGTACGCTCTAAAAGTCCACTGTTGACGTATTATAAATAAGTATTAAAATAATAAAAACCCAACCTGTCTTTGTTGTACTGGCTCGTTTGGACCTAAATGAAAATACCTATATTCAAAGTATATTGTGATTTTTCGGTGTTTGTATTATAAATTATATTTATATAGATGAGGTTTTACATGTTTTAGACCATGTTGACTACTTCGGTGTACCTTACATCAAAATAAAAGACTTTCCCTGAAAATGCGTTTCTTTTAAAAAATGTATTTTTTCCTTCTTTAATTTAAAACCCCAATTTAGGCAACCAGTAAATAGTAAATAATAAGTTTGTTGTTGTTTTCATAACCTCAAATTAATTTCGTCTTTTTTAAATCAATGTTTAATTGTTAAAATATTAATAAGTTATGTTCTGTGTTAATAATGAATATTGACGGTGTATTTTCTACACTGTTAATAGGAGATGAGACCAATTACATTGCGTTGAAAGTGAGTGTGAGATTAAATTTAATTTAAATTCAATAATTTATGTTTATCAGTTTGCAATAGATTGTGCGGAAAAGGGTCTTCCAGTTTGGTACATCTCAACAGAGCCTATTCACGAGCTTCCAAATAGTATTATAAAACCTTGCCGAGAAGTTTTGAAACTTATAACGTTTATGTAATTTTTAATATTCCTTTTAATACACCAAACCTAATATTATTTGTTTTAGCTATCTACAGACTTATTCCGATTTAATAAAGCACCTCAATGGTATACAGAACTGGAGAAATATACCTAGAATTATTATCCTTAAAAATTTTGAGATATATTCCAAAATAAGAGCAGACTACAGCTCGGCAAAAGCTGCATATCTTTGTGCAATTTTGCTTAACACTATGTCATATGTGAAACAGAAACTAAATTCAGCTGCATACCTTCTAGTTTTTAATGCAAGTCTAGATACTGAAGATCTCAATAAATTGCAAGTATTGTATGATATGTACTTTAGAAAATGTTATTCTCAATCGGAGTATGAAAATGATGACAATTTAGTAAAATGCATAGAGGAAGAGATATCAATATAAACAAACTCTGTGAGTTAAATGTTTTTTTTATTTTATTTTTTTTATATTATAGAACATGTAAATATATCTTATTATAACTATAAAAATATTAGTAAGTTATTAAAAAACTTCTTGTAATTTATAAAAAATATAAATAAACATACAAACAAACATATTTTAAAAATTAAATATTAATACAAATATCTTTTAGATCAAAATGTTTAGGACTATAGGCACAATAAATTATCTCAAAGGCACTAATAGAAAGCTGCATTTTTCTGACTTTTGAAATTTCTATTAAACAATGGTTCTATATTTTTGAAATATGTTATACAAGACACGCAGTGTTGATTTTAAATCCATATTAACAATATCTAAAAAGAAATATTGTAGCACAAAAATTAAAACAAAAAATCTCTAGCTTACCTTCTGGTCGAGCTTTTGGCCTTTTTAAACCACATTCTTCCATCAGTTCGAAAGCAAAGTTAACATTGTGCACTTTCTCATCAAATTCTTGAGGTGTTAAGTGGAAAGCATAGTGTGGCACAAAGAATCCTTCCAGTAGACCCATAAGTATTACCAAATAAACCCCATCATGAAACTGAGTTTCCAATTCTGTTATTTCAAAATGCATCCTGTTCAAATGTTTATTTGCAAATGTAACCAAAGACTGCAATAAAAAAGAAAACTTTTAAATAAGAAACTGTTAATAGCTGGAAGACCTACCTTTTTAACAATTTGAAGTTTTTCTGGAGGATGATCAAACAGAGCATCAAAAGCATCTCTCTCACATCTCATACCAACGTCATCATATTCTGTGGTTAAGTTTTCTCGCACCAACTGATGGACTAACTGGCCTTTATGTTTTTTCACCACCCGTACATTTACCGTGACATTTTCAGTAAGTCTTACCGGAGGTCTAAAATGTCTAGCAAGGGCAACCAATAAATGAATTATGGCAACTATATTTTTTGAATGAATTGCCTCGACACTCCATTTATTACGTCTGGATCTGGACACACCCAAAATCTATTAATATAAAAAATATGATCAAAATCACAGTATGATTGTTAGGAAACGGGTTCCTACTTGATTAAAATGTGCCAAAACAACAGCCAACTTTTGTTTTGACCTTCTTCGCTGCTTTGAGTTACTTCGGGAACGTCCAACTTGTCTCCTGTAAGTTTCTCAAGTAATTTTTGCAACACCTGGCCATCATAAAGATCTTCTGAAAGATCCTGAACAATGATTCTTTGTGAGGCAAGTTCGTCATTAATCCACTCAATGAGGACAAAATTTAAGTCCTGAAATTTTGTTCCAGTGATGCGTTTGGTTCTATAACGCATCGTTCCTCATTTTCTTCTAAAAATAGGTAAAGTAGATCAAGGTAAATAAAGTTATGTCAAATGTTTGTTTATTACCTAAGTTATAGTCCTCAGGCGAAATTGATGGGGCTGTTGCATAGCCTGGGGAGTCTATAGCGTATTTTCCTTCGGTCTGAACTTCTTGAACTAAAAAATAATAATTAAATCACTTCGTTAACAAACACTCCTTGTTATTAATGTCGTAAACATAACCATATTAGGAAATTACGTCAGTGTATAGGATTTTAAGCACGCAACCTACCTTCTTTAATACGTTTTTTTTTCGTCCCAAAGTTCCCAATTTATCCCAAATTGATTCGTCTTTGCTGGGTTTGGGTTCGACGATTGGTTTTGGGCTTTTTGGCCTTAAAGTTCCCATTTTTTCTGGCTCAGTATTTTTAGAAATTGTTTCACCAACTAATTCTTCTTTTTTCTCTTCTTCTTTTGGTTTCTTCTTAGAGATCGACAGCGCTAAAATACGTTAACGTAAAACGGTAAAATTCCATAATATCTTTTTAAACTAATACCCTTCTAATATTAATAATTAATACGTTTAATTAAGAGAGTAATTAAATTAGAAGTTAAAAACCTTATTTCATTTCTCTAAAGAAATATTAATCTAAAGTAAATTATTTTTTTTATCATGCCCACTACCAAGAACAGAGTTTACCGTTCTTGGCCCACTACTAGCCATATGTTTTCCAGCAACCAACATTACATATACTTATTTGAAATTTCTTCCCTGGTTGAGAAAATTGTTAAATGTATTTTCTTATTATAATACTTAAACAAATTTTGCTGTATAATATGTTGAATAACAAACAGAAGATTAGGTCGATGTTAAAAACTTCACAAAACTTAACGTAACCCCCTCATTCTTTTTATAAAAATATAATACCTTGCATTATTCTTTTCTATTATTCTTTCTATTATTAATTTGCATTATTCTTTTCTATATTTAATTACCTTTCATAAGTCCTATATCCTCATGGCTGAAATTAAGTTGGGTTCCTGTGTTATTCGGATAATATACACCTTCTTGAAATTTTACGCAACTACCTGTGGATTTCGTCTTCAAATCACCATCACCAGATTTAAAAACCATTTCCGATGGAGGTTTCGGAGGTGGTACTGGTTTAAGCGCACTTTTCTTTGGTTTACCATCGGAACTACACGTTTCAAACGTTGTTTTTGTATATAAAACCTCAGAAATCGGTTTCTGAAACTCTGTATCCATTTTGTTATGCCGCGTCTCACACCTATGTTTGTTAAATATACACTTTGTGCAAACAAAAATGCATATCAATGAGCGATAAAGGCAAACCGCAGATAACGACGGTAATTTCCTCTGTTTGAACAAGAATAAATAAAAAATCTAGGTTCTATGAATGTTTTTAAATTGATTTATAATAACTTGACAAACTATGGAAAATGTAGATAGATCTTTATAGAATTTTGTTCAAAATTTTATGTACCAGAACAAAAATAAAGTAAAATTAATTTAAACAATTTAAAAGATTTATCAAATTATAATGAAAATTCTTGGAAATTTTATGTTACTGGTCAAAATATTATACCTACACAACTACTGAGTATATTTTAACACGTTTCAAGTTATTTTCGGAAAGAATAAAAAATAAATTATTTTTAATGGGAATTATTATACAGGGTGGTCCAGTGTTTCGTCAAAGCTCCATGTCAGATGTTTCCTATTTCAAATTTTCGCTCCAAGATGTTCGGAAAAATGCAAGTTAATCATATGGCGCATCCATTTTTAGTTTTTCAATGGCATATTTTGAAATTACTCATATTCAAAATTTGAAAAAAGCCCTTGAATATAGCTTTTTGCGTCAATATACAGGGCGATTCAAATATATTTGAAGTTTAAGTTGGATATTTTTAAATGTAACATCGTATAAGTATAGTGAATTTGCCTTTAATTCTCATATAAAAAGTACCTACAATAATGTCATATTCTGTACCGAGAGGTTTTTGAAATAAGTTTTATTTAATTTTTTTGTTTTATTGAGCATTTTTGTGAACAATACTTGATATTCATATTCATCGATATTTACTGGTAATATTTTGTTTTTAATGGTTGTATTTTATCAATTTTTTTTAAATATACAGGGTGGCGCACCCCATTCACCTCGGTTGATTATACGAAAACGGAAAGATGGAGAAACAAAATATTTTATGGGTATATGTGGGGAGTCAATGTGCACAATTTAAAATTATTTTGAAATATACAGGGTGTATCAGAACTAAGATCCATACCAAAGTTATATTTTTTCTTATGGAACACCCGGTATTTTATTTCATTTTTGAATTCTTGGGCCCAAAAAAAGACATCTATTATAAGGGTTAAATATGTTTAAAATCATTGGTTTTTGAGATATTAAAAGATATTTAAATATGCATGCTACAAGAGAATCGATTATTAAGACCCTGTACATTACTTTTCAGAATTAATTCTTGTGCTGAGTTTAAAGGCAAAGAAATAAACTTTACCGAAAAATGTTATTGCTTCCCTAAATTTATACAGGGGTACCAAAAATTAGTGATCTATTTTAAGGATTTATTTTACATAAAAACTTTGTTATTTCAAATGCAACACTCTGTATTTTTTTAAATAAATCGAAGCAGAATCAAATGCTCTTTCAAACTATGTTAGGGTTTCCTATACCTATCTATCTCAGATTTTGAATAAAAAGCGACTTTTAAGTAAAATGGCAATCAAGATGGCTGGTATCGCCGTGGCAATTTTCTAGTGACAGTTAGTAACTATTTTCAAAATCGACATTAGTTTATAGACTTTATTTAAATCTTTTTAATACCAGTTTACTTTTATTTAATAGCCTACAATAGTTTAATAAATAATATTTATTAATATGTATTTATTATTCTTTCAAGAAAAACGAAGAAATAGTTCTTTGTTTTATTTTACGATAACTTGTAGATATATGCTTTTTTTATAAAAGAGCCAATTACGGCAAATTCAATTTCTTCACTTCCAACGACAGGTTTCTGCCTAATAAGTTTTTTATAAACTACACTACGAAATAGGAAATAGGACAAGTAGTTTTTCAAAGGAACGCTTATCAGGAAGATTCCTATTTGGATATCTTTGAGCATTAGCTCTTGAGGCCAAGAAATAATTTTCCTCACAAAATAAAATTACTAGTAACATATCCATTCGTTCCACCAGCAGATATGGCTTTATTTTTCTTCATAAAATAAAGAATACTTATTATTAAACTATGGTGGGTAAATTTTAGTAAACTGTTTAAATAATAATGTTCATACACTAATGTCAATTTTGAAAATAGTTACTAACTGTCACTAGAAAATTGCCATAGCGATACCAGCCATCTTGATTGCTATTTTATTTAAAAATCGCTTTTTATTCAAAATCTGAGATAGATAGGTATAGAAAGCCCTAATATAGTTTGAAAGAGCATTTGAATATGCTTCGATTTATTTAAAAAATACAGGGTGTTGCATTTAAAATAAGAAAGTTTTTATGTAAAATAGATCCTTAAAGTAGATCACTAATTTTTGGTACCCCTGTATAAATTTAAGGAAACAATAACATTTTTCAGTAAAGTTTATTTCTTTACCTTTAAACGCAGCACAAGAATTAATTCTGAAAAGAAATGTACAGGGTGTTAATAATCAATTTTCTTGTACCATGCATATTTAAATATCTTTAAATATCTCAAAAACCAATGATTTTAAACATATTTATAAATTATATTTATATAGATGAGGTTTTACATGTTTTAGACCATGTTGACTACTTCGGTGTACCTTACATCAAAATAAAAGACTTTCCCTGAAAATGCGTTTCTTTTAAAAAATGTATTTTTTCCTTCTTTAATTTAAAACCCCAATTTAGGCAACCAGTAAATAGTAAATAATAAGTTTGTTGTCGTTTTCATAACCTCAAATTAATTTCGTCTTTTTTAAATCAATGTTTAATTGTTAAAATATTAATAAGTTATGTTCTGTGTTTATAATGAATATTGACGGTGTATTTTCTACACTGTTAATAGGAGATGTGACCAATTACATTGCGTTGAAAGTGAGTGTGAGATTAAATTAATTTAAATTCAATAATTTATGTTTATCAGTTTGCAATAGATTGTGCGGAAAAGGGTCTTCCAGTTTGGTACATCTCAACCGAGCCTATTCAGGAGCTTCCACATACTATTATAAAACCTTGCCGAGAAGTTTTGAAACTTATAACGTTTATGTAATTTTTAATATTTCTTTTAATACACCAAACCTAATATTATTTATTTTAGCTATCTACAGACTTATTCTGATTTAATAAAGCACCTGAATGGTATACAGAACTGGAGAAATATACCTAGAATTATTATCCTTAAAAATTTCGAGATATATTCCAAAATAAAAGCAGACTACAGCTCGGCGAAAGCTGCGTATCTGTGTGTAATTTTACTTAACACTATGTCATATGTAAAACAGAAACTAAATTCACCAGCATACCTTCTAGTTTTTAATGCAAGTCTAGATACCGAAGATCTTAATAAATTGCAAGTATTGTATGATATGTACTTTAGAAAATGTTATTCTCAATCGGAGTATGAAAATGATGACAATTTAGTAAAATGCATAGAGGAAGAGATATCATCAATATAAACAAAATCTGTGAGTTAAATGCTTTTTTATTTTATTTTTTTTTTATATTATAGAACATGTAAATATATCTTATTATAATATAACTATAAAAATATTAGTAAGTTATTAAAAAAACTTCTTGAAATTTATAAAAAATATAAATAAACATACAAACAAACATATGTTAAAAATTAAATATTAATACAAATATCTTTTAGATCAAAATGTTTAGGACTATAGGCACAATAAATTATCTCAAAGGCACTAATAGAAAGCTGCATTTTTCTGACTTTTGAAATTTCTATTAAACAATGGTTCTATATTTTTGAAATATGTTATACAAGACACGCAGTGTTGATTTTAAATCCATATTAACAATATCTAAAAAAGAAATATTGTAGCACAAAAAAATTAAACAAAAAATCTCTAGCTTACCTTCTGGTCGAGCTTTTGGCCTTTTTAAACCACATTCTTCCATCAGTTCGAAAGCAAAGTTAACATTGTGCACTTTCTCATCAAATTCTTGAGGTGTTAAGTGGAAAGCATAGTGTGGCACAAAGAATCCTTCCAGTAGACCCATAAGTATTACCAAATAAACCCCATCATGAAACTGAGTTTCCAATTCTGTTATTTCAAAATGCATCCTGTTCAAATGTTTATTTGCAAATGTAACCAAAGACTGCAATAAAAAAGAAAACTTTTAAATAAGAAACTGTTAATAGCTGGAAGACCTACCTTTTTAACAATTTGAAGTTTTTCTGGAGGATGATCAAACAGAGCATCAAAAGCATCTCTCTCACATCTCATACCAACGTCATCATATTCTGTGGTTAAGTTTTCTCGCACCAACTGATGGACTAACTGGCCTTTATGTTTTTTCACCACCCGTACATTTACCGTGACATTTTCAGTAAGTCTTACCGGAGGTCTAAAATGTCTAGCAAGGGCAACCAATAAATGAATTATGGCAACTATATTTTTTGAATGAATTGCCTCGACACTCCATTTATTACGTCTGGATCTGGACACACCCAAAATCTATTAATATAAAAAATATGATCAAAATCACAGTATGATTGTTAGGAAACGGGTTCCTACTTGATTAAAATGTGCCAAAACAACAGCCAACTTTTGTTTTTGACCTTCTTCGCTTTGAGTTACTTCGGGAACGTCCAACTTGTCTCCTGTAAGTTTCTCAAGTAATTTTTGCAACACCTGGCCATCATAAAGATCTTCTGAAAGATCCTGAACAATGATTCTTTGTGAGGCAAGTTCGTCATTAATCCACTCAATGAGGACAAAATTTAAGTCCTGAAATTTTGGTTCCAGTGATGCGTTTGGTTCTATAACGCATCGTTCCTCATTTTCTTCTAAAAATAGGTAAAGTAGATCAAGGTAAATAAAGTTATGTCAAATGTTTGTTTATTACCTAAGTTATAGTCCTCAGGCGAAATTGATGGGGCTGTTGCATAGCCTGGGGAGTCTATAGCGTATTTTCCTTCGGTCTGAACTTCTTGAACTAAAAAATAATAATTAAATCACTTCGTTAACAAACACTCCTTGTTATTAATGTCGTAAACATAACCATATTAGGAAATTACGTCAGTGTATAGGATTTTAAGCACGCAACCTACCTTCTTTAATACGTTTTTTTCGTCCCAAAGTTCCCAATTTATCCCAAATTGATTCGTCTTTGCTGGGTTTGGGTTCGACGATTGGTTTTGGGCTTTTTGGCCTTAAAGTTCCCATTTTTTCTGGCTCAGTATTTTTAGAAATTGTTTCACCAACTAATTCTTCTTTTTTCTCTTCTTCTTTTGGTTTCTTCTTAGAGATCGACAGCGCTAAAATACGTTAACGTAAAACGGTAAAATTCCATAATATCTTTTTAAACTAATACCCTTCTAATATTAATAATTAATACGTTTAATTAAGAGAGTAATTAAATTAGAAGTTAAAAACCTTATTTTATTTCTCTAAAGAAATATTAATCTAAAGTAAATTATTTTTTTTATCATGCCCAATATGTGCCCAGTACTAGCCATATGTTTTCCAGCAACCAACATTACATATTCTTATTTGAAATTTCTTCCCTGGTGGAGAAAATTGTTAAATGCATTTTCTTATTATAATACTTAAACAAATTTTGCTGTATAATAATATGTCGAATAACAAACAGAAGATTAGGTCGATGTTAAAAACTTCACAAAACTTAACGTAACCCCCTCATTCTTTTTATAAAAAATATAATACCTTGCATTATTCTTTTCTATTATTCTTTCTATTATTAATTTGCATTATTCTTTTCTATATTTAATTACCTTTCATAAGTCCTATATCCTCATGGCTGAAATTAAGTTGGGTTCCTGTGTTATTCGGATAATATACACCTTCTTGAAATTTTACGCAACTACCTGTGGATTTCGTCTTCAAATCACCATCACCAGATTTAAAAACCATTTCCGATGGAGGTTTCGGAGGTGGTACTGGTTTAAGCGCACTTTTCTTTGGTTTACCATCGGAACTACACGTTTCAAACGTTGTTTTTGTATATAAAACCTCAGAAATCGGTTTCTGAAACTCTGTATCCATTTTGTTATGCCGCGTCTCACACCTATGTTTGTTAAATATACACTTTGTGCAAACAAAAATGCATATCAATGAGCGATAAAGGCAAACCGCAGATAACGACGGTAATTTCCTCTGTTTGAACAAGAATAAATAAAAAATCTAGGTTCTATGAATGTTTTTAAATTGATTTATAATAACTTGACAAACTATGGAAAATGTAGATAGATCTTTATAGAATTTTGTTCAAAATTTTATGTACCAGAACAAAATAAAGTAAAATTAATTTAAACAATTTAAAAGATTTATCAAATTATAATGAAAATTCTTGGAAATTTTATGTTACTGGTCAAAATATTATACCTACACAACTACTGAGTATATTTTAACACGTTTCAAGTTATTTTCGGAAAGAATAAAAAATAAATTATTTTTAATGGGAATTATTATACAGGGTGGTCCAGTGTTTCGTCAAAGCTCCATGTCAGATGTTTCCTATTTCAAATTTTCGCTCCAAGATGTTCGGAAAAATGCAAGTTAATCATATGGCGCATCCATTTTTAGTTTTTCAATGGCATATTTTGAAATTACTCATATTCAAAATTTGAAAAAAGCCCTTGAATATAGCTTTTTGCGTCAATATACAGGACGATTCAAATATATTTGAAGTTTAAGTTGGATATTTTTAAATGGAACATCATATAAGTATAGTGAATTTGCCTTTAATTCTCATATAAAAAGTACCTACAATAATGTCATATTCTGTACCGAGAGGTTTTTGAAATAGGTTTTATTTAATTTTTTTGTTTTATTGAGCATTTTTGTGAACAATACTTGATATTCATATTCATCGATATTTCCTGGTAATATTTTGTTTTTAATGGTTGTATTTTATCAATTTTTTTAAATATACAGGGTGGCGCACCCCATTCATCTCGGTTGATTATACGAAAACGGAAAGATGTAGAAACAAAATATTTTATGGTAACTGTCACTAGAAAATTGCCATGGCGATACCAGCCATCTTGATTGCTATTTTATTTAAAAATCGCTTTTTATTCAAAATCTGAGATAGATAGGTATAGAAAGCCCTAATATAGTTTGAAAGAGCATTTGAATCTGCTTCGATTTATTTAAAAAATACAGGGTGTTGCATTTAAAATAAGAAAGTTTTTATGTAAAATAAATCCTTAAAGTAGATCACTAATGGTACCCCTGTATAAATTTAAGGAAACAATAACATTTTTCAGTAAAGTTTATTTCTTTACCTTTAAACGCAGCACAAGAATTAATTCTGAAAAGAAATGTACAGGGTGTTAATAATCAATTTTCTTGTACCATGCATATTTAAATATCTTTAAATATCTCAAAAACCAATGATTTTAAACATATTTAACCCCTATAATAAATGTCTTTTTTTGGGCCCAAGAATCCAAAAATGAAATAAAATACCGGGTGTTCCATAAGAAAAAATATAACTTTGGTATGGATCTTAGTTCTGAGACACCCTGTATATTTCAAAATAATTTTAAATTGTGCACATTGACTCCCCACATATACCCATAAAATATTTTTTTTCTACATCTTTCCGTTTTCGTATAATCAACCGAGGCGAATGAGGTGCGCCACCCTGTATATTTTTGAATTTTCTGCCTAAATATAAAAATTAATAAAGCATTGTAATTTCACAGCGGTTATGATTTTTTGACGATCTGACGATATTCAAAATTTTCTGAAAAAAATCTGATAAATTAAAAATAAAAATTGGTTTGGTGCAAAAAAGTGCGAGTTGGACTCGCGCACGAAGGGTTTCGTACCATTCATTATCTATACATTAGACACTATATTATTATAAAGTTTTTTTCCGATTTAGCTGAAATTTGGAATGCGCGTATAAGTAAATAAAAAAATGAAGAAATACTAAAAATTGTATTAATTATTAATCAATAATAAATATGTAAAAAGAAAAAATAAAATAAAGAATAAATATCTAAAAATTAAAAAAAAAACGATTAAAACAAAGTCGCCTTGACTAGGATTCGAACCTGCCTTACTACGGCTCCAACGTCATAGCAGCCTAAAGTCCTAACGCTTTAAAACAGAGAAGAACAAACGTACTTCTTCTATGTTCTTACGTTTGTTCTTCTCTGCTTTAAACCACGCGGCCACCGAGGACTTGAAAGATTCTATGTAAAATTCTTACTTAAAAGATAATGTTTAGTGAAAGCACTATTTTTATTTATAAACATTTATTTAATTCTGTTTTTAGTATTTGTTCTTATAGCGGCAACATAGATACATTATATGTAAAAATTTCAACTGTCTAGCTATAACGGTTCATAAGATAGATCTTTGTGACAGACGGATGGACGGACAGCGAAGTCTTAGTAATAGGGTTCCCGTTTTTACCTTTTGGGTACGGAACCCTAAAAAAGATCATAGTAAAAATCTCAAACCAGAAATCTGACACACAGCTGTTTAGGAACACCGAGTCATGTTGCGGATTTAGTGTTTACGGTAAGGTGCGTTCACAGCGGCTGCGCCGCGCAAAACATTTTTTTAACATGTACTTTTGAAGTGTATTTTTTTAGCGCGCACAAAAGTATATGTAAAAAAATTATTTGCGCGGCGCGGAGCGGCGCAGCCGATGTGAACGCACCTTTATAGTATCAAATAAAATTCATCAGTTATGAAATATAAAACAAGACATTTATTAATCTTATGATAGTAAAAAATAGTGCCACATAAGTAGAGAGGATCTTATTTAACTGGACAAATTCCTGGATTAATGTGAATATACAGAACATTAATTTGCTCCAAAATTTGGAGTTCAAATTACTTCTTCATCTTTTTGCATTTTTTTCACTTGTTAATGTTTGTTCAGTTAAAATGAGCCACCCAGTACATATAACAAAAATAAAATCAATCTGAAGGAAAGCCCCACACTTTTAAACTTCCCGCGTCCCTTTTTCTATCATAATTGTCCTTATCATCACAAGCATAAGCTAAAAGATACTGAGATGGATGCCATGCAACTGTAAAGGTGGCTGCTTCAACACTTATATCAGCTATTTTGTCACCTGTTTCGACAAAGCCTGCAACAACAACAACCAAAAACTACATAAAAATACAAAATATACAGGATTAAGATAATTTACCTATGTCAATCAGAAGATCTTCTGAAGCTGACGCCAACAGTTGTCCATCATAGCTGAAAGATATTGTTCTCACAGGCCAATCCATTCTAAAATTAAAAAATAAATAACATAAAATACATAAATGAACTACAATATAACTTAAAGCAATACCTCGTAAAAACCCTCTGACATGCTAGTTCATTTATATCCCAAAGTGAAACTAACGCATCTGCACTACCAGTTGCAAAATACTTTCCCGTGGGATCAAACTCTATACATATACATGTACCTGGATGAGCTTTGAGAATGTGCTGTCTTTTTAACTCTGGATAGCTGAAAGTTAATACAGTTTAAATACAGGTAACTTTTTATTTATTGAATAGTTTACCTCAATATGTGCACACATCCTTGACCATTCGTAAGAAAAAATAAGTCACTTGTATTATTCCAACTAATTTCATTTACTTCAAAGTGAAATTGTTCCTCGGCTTCAATTTTATGTGTTCTGGCATCTATGAACGTTACCAAATCTTCTTTATTACCAACAGCAATTGCATTTCCTGAAAAAGATACATAATTATTATTTATATAAAGATATCAATAATAAATAACAAACCATTAGGTGACCAAGTTATATTAATGTTTTCCCCTTTAGTATTAATTGTTGCTACACATTTCTGTACTCTAGTATCCCAAATCCGAACAGATTTATCACCACTAGCAGTACTTAAAAGATCGGGGTTTGTTTGATGCCAACAAAGTTGATCCACCGACCCACCGTGTCCTTTAAAGGTAATTTCTTTGTTCTACAAGACGAATAGATCAAAATACATCTGCACTAACAACATAAACATCAGATTTACCAGTCTATCGTTATATAGAGTGTAAATGCAAACGCATTTATCAAAAGAGCCCGAAGCCAATCTTTTACCGTCGCAGCTCCAGCCTACAGAATGAACCTTCGAACTATGCGTAAAATATTCTTTGGATTTGTTGTGGGTTTTAAAATACTTCTGAAATTCTTCGATTTTCTCAGAATACATTTTAAAAAATCAAGTTCCAACTTTAGTTCTAAACATTTAAAAAGTTAACCTATATTTTTTCAAGTTGTATACAAATGAAGATAGGTACATATGATTCAACTGGAAGTTAGATACGAATAATTTTCTTCTTTTTTTAATTAATTTAAAGGCTTCAGCTACTACGACTATCCGGTCTGTTAATAGGGTACTACCCCCTGTTGGTATTAATTTTCTTCTTATCTATGGTAATTAGTGATGGGACACCGACACAATAAGATCGATGTCGTGAAAAAATCATTGTGCCTTGCTTTACGTTTGCAACCAAAACCTTAGGGTAGGTTCTGGTCTGGTGTTGTTTTCAGTAACAAAATTCAGTCTGATTCAGTACAAAATTTCTTAGAGGTTATTGATATGTGTTAAACCGTGTTAAACACAAATATCCCTAGAGAAACATCGATATTTTTATAATATCGATATAGATCGCCCAACACTAGATACGAGAAAAACGTCTTGTCACTTTTGACTTATGTTATGACAGCTTTTGATTTATTTTAATTTTTATGAACTGTCAAATAATAAATTTAGCCAAAAACTTTAGAAAAGTAAAATTTGGAGAAGAAAAATTAGAAATAGATAAATTATTTTTAATCAGAAATGGAGTGCATAGGTAGGATTCTAAGTGTTGTTACAATTTATTTAACTTATTTATATATTATTGAGAAAAATAACTAAAATATGCCAAATCATGATGAGATCTAAGTATCACAACAAAAAAATACAACTTTATATTTAGAAATGTTCAACCTAAACTGATTTAATTGCAGGAAGTGAGAGTGATAATGTTGAAAATGTGGAAACAAAAGGTAGTGAGACTTGCACCAAAGAAGTAAAAAGTGATATAGAAAGTGATAAGCCAACAGACAATTCTCTTGGAGATACATCACAGTCTACAGCTTGTAAAATATCAGAAAGTGCAGAAGAAGCTTCAGTTGGACAGGCAAATGGTGCACCACAAGAAACATTAGAAGTGAAAGTAATTTATAACAAAAAGAAATATGATGTCAATGTATCAACAGATTTAGCAATACCCGAATTTAAAAAACAATTACAGGGTTTATTAGGTATTCTATCTTTAGATATTCTTTTTGAAACTATGATTTACATTTAGTTTATAGGAGTGCCAGCCTCTATGCAGAAATTAATGTACAAGGGTTTACTGCAGGATAATCAAACTATTTCAAGTTCAGGAATAACCAAAGGGTCAAAAATTATGTTAGTAGGATCCACATTAAATGATGTTTTAGCTGTGTCATCAGTATCTAAACAAGTATATTTTAATGATGCTTGTTTAAACTTTATATTATATCCATTAAATTACTTGTAGGATGTTGCAGAAATGGAAAAAGCTGCTACGGCAAAAGAACCACTTTGTAAACAAAAAATTCATAGGAAGGTTTTAGATAAAGGAATACCTGAAGATGCTATGCCTGGTATTAAAAATTTAAAGGTATGTTTCAACAATCAATCTTGGTAAAATATTTATGTTTTTTTTAATTGATAGGAGGGTCTACCACCTGTTCCTTTATCAGGAATGTTAAATAAACATGGAGGAAAGGTTAGATTGACATTTAAATTAGAAAATGATCAATTATGGCTTAGTACAAAGGAACGTACAGAAAAACTACCAATGGGTTCTATAAAAGGTGTTGTTTCAGAGCCAATAGAGGGACACGAAGAATATCATTTAATGGTTAGGTTAATCACAATTTATATAAAATCAGGGTGCAAAGTTGAAAAAATAATCAGAATGCAAAGAATAAAAAATCTGATTAAGATTAAAAAAAATCAATTTTTTTTCATTTTTTTTTGCACCCTGTATAGAATCAAGTTAAAACCAAGGATCTTTTATAGGGATTACAATTAGGACCGACAGAAGCCTCCAGGTATTGGATATATTGGGTGCCAGCTCAGTACGTCGAAGCTGTCAAAGATGCTATCCTAGGAAAGTGGCAGTTTTTCTAAACTGTTAATGGATTGCCGATGTATTTTTTCATTTCTCTGGTTTTTCAGGGTTATTTTTAAAAGTCTCGAAATATACTTATTTATATTGTGTGACAAAGAAAAGAATGTTTGATCGGCCAGAGCCATATGCATTTTCGTGTCTTATTCTTTTCTTTTCTAAAGGAAACTGTACTAAGAATAGTATGATATTGTATTAATACTTTCACTTAAATTTGTACATGTTTTTTCAACCATTTGACAAGTATTACAGTGAAAAATTACAATAAATTTGTTTTAATTTCCTATATTATAAGAGTCAAACTGTCGGGTAAAAATTAATAGTTTGACACTTCTATACAGAAAAAAAAATATATATAATAACCTAGTAAACTACCTTAATACTAAGATCTATATAAATGACTTTTGTACCACAATTATACAAAAAAAACATTAATCCTTAAAATTTCTTATAAATATTACACTTATTTACTTTCACTTAGTGTCAGCAACAAAAAGAATCCAATTTTATTTCTCTTGTAAGTATCCCTCAATATCTTTATTAAGTTGAATGTTCATCCAGTCTAATTGTATATTATCTAAATGGTTATCAAAATCAACTAAGTCATTATAAGCTTTATTTTGCAATAAATCTCTGGTTGCCCTAACAGTCCCTTCAGTAGGATTAGTGTGAATGTACGGTTCTTCTATTTGTTTGAAATTGCCCTCTGTGATCTGAGCCACCTTTAAAACTGATTTTGAATTTTCACTTGAGAGTTTTGAATTATTAATCTAAAAAATATTACTTATTAGATTGATGTTTATTAATTACTATTTAAAATAATGTTTACCACAACGATATAGCTAGGAGTAAAATTCGAGGCAATTTTGTCAGCGATTTTATTGCTGGCTTTCTCAAAACTGTTGTCTCTTAAGTTCTCATTTGCAGCATAATATCCAGCAATAACTAGACCTCTGCTTGAGGCAAGTTCATCAATCTGGAAGTGTTAAAAACATTAATATCTTGAACCATAATTTTAAATCGAATCAATTACCTGCATTAGGGCAATTTCAGCCATAGGTGTTAAATTAAGACAAATGTGAAAAAGTGGCACCGCGTCAAGAAATTCGATTTCTTTATTAGAAGCTCCACTTTTAGCCAGCAGAACACCATTGATTGCACAGTGTGGATATTTAGCAGCGTGCAAAATCATTTTGCAAAAGGCCCTAGCATTAATTTTTACTTCAGTCATGTTGAAAAATTTTAATGAATTTAAATTATTTCCTTATTTCGAGATTTGAGGTTAAATTTGTCAAAGTGACAGTGACAGGTATGGTGACAGGAGACAGGAGTAACAAGTTTCACACCATAGATTTTGATTTGTTGCAGAGAATGGAAGTGGCATCTAGAATCCTTTCTATATATCTCTGAATTTGTTGCCAATATATTTTGTTGCCAATTAATCTGTCAAACGGAATTTGTCATTTGTCATATGTCAAAATTTTATAAACGGCACGCCAACAAAAGGTGGAGCGAGGCAAAACGGTTTTGTTGTGTTTTGGCGCTAGAAAATAATTTTCTTTAATAAAAATGCCTCCTAAAAAACGAGAGAAAGAACCGGACGTATCAAAAAATCCTCGAATTGATCACATACAAGCGGATCATGAACTCTTTTTACAGGCTTTCGAAAGTAAGTGTCGACGGAATTGTGTACGTGTTGGTTATATTGCAGTGTTTTTTTCCATTTTTCAGAACCCACACAAATATATAGGTACCTAAGAACGCGAAATATGTGTTCGGTAAGTTCATTTTTCTTAGTTATTAGATGATGTTTACTCAGAATTAAAAATTTCTAGCCCATCTTTTTAAATCGTACCCTAACTTACATGAGAGATCGTATGTCTAGGAATAACAAAGGAAGAGCTAAATTTAAAATTGATACATTGCTACAAAAAATTAGTGAAAAGAAAGAGACCAATATTATACAGCCAGGATATATAAATCTTACATTCTTAGGTAAAAATTTATTATAATTTATATACAATAGAAATACTTATAACATTGTATGTTTTCTATACTTTTTTTATTTTCTATTCTTAATTTTAGGGTTTAATATCAGTTCATTGAGTTTTGGTACAGACTTTGCTCAAGTTGAAACTGTATTATTAAAAATTACACACAAAAAGAGAAAAGACAGTTCGGCACCAAGCATGCAGATAACATTAGGTACTGTTTTTTTAATCTGTATTGTATGATTTATTGATGTAAAATTTTGGTATAAAAATAGGTACAGCAGATGTACCTATAAACCCATTAGACAGTCAGTTACCCTTGACGGCACCAACTATTAGTATACCTACCGAATCATTTAGTAATGGTACAGGACCTATAATAAAAAGCTACATTTTGCTATTCCGTGTTAAAGTCACTATTGATACAGAAAATACTGAATTGGAGGAACCTGCTGTTAAAAAGAGGAAGTCGAGCAATGGTAAAATGAGTCTTTTTTTATCATTTTGATGTCTCATTAAACATAATATGTTAGTTTTAGATAGTAGTAATACAAAAATTTATGGTGCAGAGCTTACCATATATGATAAGCACAATAGGTGTTATCTGTCTGATGGTGATTATGATGTGGTAGTTCATGATGTATCAGCCATTTCTAGAAATTCACCCAAAAAGCATTCTAGTTGGGAAAATATTAACGACCTGGTCGAAACTTGTGGAAATATTGATGCATTTTTAAAAGGGGCAATACTGAAATTCAAACTAAATTGGTCTAGTGTAGCCTGTGCTAAAGTCGTTGACAGACCGAAGCCCTATCCTCTATCAGACAATAAGGAAAATAATTCCGCCTTAGCTAACGGAGACACTGACATTGCCAAGCTACAAATTGTTTACCAGTTTGTATACAACAATAATTCTCGTCAACAAACAGAAGCCTGTGAAGATCTCCACTGTCCCTGGTGTTCGATTAACTGTAACGAACTCTACACCTTGCTTAAGCACCTGAAACTGTGCCATTCCAGATTTACGTTTACCTACGTTCCTATTAGTGTGGGGGCGCGCATAGATGTCGCCATCAACGAAATGTACGATGGGTCGTATACAGGGTCGCCGCACGATCTCATTACGCAGCCGTCGGTGTGCGCGTTTTCGAGAAACGGGCCTGTAAGGAGGGCTTCCGTCACTCATATTTTGGTATGCCATCCCAAGAGGCCCAAACCAAGTCTCTCTGAGTTTTTGGAGTTGGACGATTGCGAGTATGATGGGCAGAGGCCTTTTATCACTGGTCATAATAGGTAAGTTTACTTTTTTAATATTGGAAAATTGATTTAAGTTTTCGTTAACGACTTCAAACTTTTTTAAACCTCTGTTTAAACAACTCTTGTGAAATACATTTGTACAAATCAACAAAAGTAATTGGATGGATCCTTGTTTTTACAGCATTTAAAAGTGGTTGCCATGATTTGATTTCCAAAATTCAAACTAATACAAGATGTTTATTAAACTTATGTATATTTAAGGGAATCGTAACAGTAATATTAAGTTTCTACAGCGCTAAAACTCTTTATATACAGGGTGGTCCGAACTGTATTCCGGAAACTTCAGTAGCGTATTCTGCAGATAAAAACAAGTAAACAAACTTCGTATTAATGTATGTCCTAAAATGCTTAGTTTCAGAGATACAGGGTGTAGAAATTTCAGATTTATTTCTATTTTTTCCATTTTTTTTTTGGAGGTGTAAAATACCTTTACGTACGGAGTGTGGGACTCAACCTCTCCTTAAGCTGCCTGGAGGACACTACCCACTAAACGTCACCCCCTCGCTCCCGCCACGTCTACCTGGACCCGCTGGACGCATCTCCTCAAGTAGACGCCGTACTGTTCCTTTTTTGTCGTTACCCCTGCTCTTCGCTGTATTTTGCCTCTAGTATATTTTGGGCCAGTTTTGAGATGGCTTCAAAGTTTTCTCTTCTTTCTGTTACCGATTTTAAGAAGGTATCTGCGGAGATGTTGCCACCAATCGTCATGCGTTATTTTTTCCAAATAACTTTTGAAGTAGCGTCAATATTTCGATAAAAATTGCTGTCTGGGAGTTTTTTGACATGAGAAATTTGATTTTGATGTCAGCATGACTCTTATTTGTAGGGGGCGCCACTTACATGTGTATTAACTGTTTTGAAGAGTAATAACTTTTCGTCCGTACCTGTATAAAACTACTAAGTGAAAAAATATACATTTTCAAAAATATATATGACACATGACTTTTTACATAAAAAATGTCTCTTTGTAAAAATCGCTACGAGGAACCGTTCTCAAGATATTTAGAATGGAAATAGTCAATACATGTAATTTTTAACACAAAAATAAACACGTTGGGTAGATAGTTATTTGACTGATGGTGGGTTCATACAACCAAATAAAATAAAATAAGAATAAAATAAAATAAAATAAGAAAGTTGGTTATATGGGATACCGTACATGCGTTCATACAGCCAAATAAAATAACAAATAAAATAAGAAGTCTTTATCTTTTAACTTCTTGTTTTATTTCATGTGAAAACGGCTTTGCGCAAGCTCAATTCTAACCTACAAATATTTTCAGTTTGGATTTAATTTATTTTATAATTTCACATAAGTAAAATTTATAATATAGTAGGCAACGAATAAATAAATATACTATAAATAGTAAAATTACTATAAACAATCGTAAAAGTTAACTTTTATCCAGCCTCATCGTACTGCGCATGAGCAAATATATATTTCTTATTTTATTTTATTTGACTGTATGAACGCACACAAATAAGAATTCCTTATTTCTTATTTTATTTTATTTGGCTGTATGAACCCACCATGAAATAATAAATCTAGAAAATTTTTATTTTTTCAAATTAATTATACATTTTTTGCGAAAAAATTATGATAAAACAGTCTTCCTTGAACTTTTTACAACAAAAACATTTCAAATTTATGATTTCAGTCTAATAACTATTTAGTCAACATGTTTAATTTATGTCAATGACAGGTATTGATAATTTCGATTCCAAATATCTCGAGAACCATTACTCGTAGCGATTTTTACCGACCTTTTTTACGTAAAAAACGTTGTGAATGTATATTTTTTTACTCAGTAGTTTTATACAGGTACAGACGAAAAGTTACTACTCTTCAAAACAGTTAAAACATATGTAGGTGGCGCCCTCTACAAGTAGGAGTCATATTGACATTAAAATCAAATTTCTCATGTCAAAAAACGCTCACGACACCAATTTTCATTCAATATTGACGTTACTTCAGAAATTATTTGGAAAAAATCGAAATAAAAATGAAACTTCTACATCCTGTATCTCCGAAAGTAAGCACAAAGGTAAGCATTTTAGGACATACCTTTATACGAACTTTTTTACTTATTATTATCTGCAGAATATGCTGCCGAAGTTTCACAGTTCGAACCACCCTGTATACAAGGCCAATATTATAAATCAGTCGTTCAACTTAAAACAAGAGTTCTAATAATCAAAATATCTGCTTTTATTAAAACTACATAAAAAGCTCTTTCATTTAAACGAAAAATTAAATGCTTAACATATTATAATCTTCTTTAAAGACTCAAGGAACAATTCCTTGAACTAAGAATATATTAATGGAACATGGAAATTAGTTAAAAATTAGCAATGAGTATTATTTGATAACAAATAGCTTTTCGTCTGTATGGCCATGTCTCAAAGGCTTCAAGTTTTTTTTGTGGACGCTTCTGTCAACAAATATGTATGGATGGAATCTCTTGGTGGGCGAGACCGACTCGCACTTGTCAGGTTTTATCTTATAGAATGCAAAATTGGTTATTTCTTTATATAAATAAAGACAGGCAAAAATTTTTTAATTCAGACTATATCACCATACCACCACTTGTCTTCCAATGTATCCGAAAGAAATGGACGCCGATTCCGAGGGCGAGAACGATCCAGAGTGGATACAGAATAAAACCATGATGATGATTGACGAGTTTACCGATGTAAACGAAGGTAAGAGACTGATTTATTTTAATGGTAATTTATTTCAGGCGTGTATTTAATGTATATGCAGTACATCATGCAGGGTGTCCCGATATTCTGTGGACATAGAACTACTAGGTATTTTTTGGACACATTTTACCTCTATACAAAAGTGATTCGTTTGTCGGTTAGAGGGAATCAAACTTTAAAAAATAAAACACATTTTTTAGGGTTCCATAATCAAAGGGTAAAAACGGGAACTAAGACTATTACTAAGACTTCGCTGTCCGTCCGTCCGTCTGTCACAAAGGTCTATCTTATGAACCGTTATAGCTAGACAGTTGAAATTTTTACAGATAATGTATCTATGTTGCCGCTATAAGAACAAATATTAAAAACAGAATTAATAAACGTTAATAAATAAAAAAGTACTTTCACTAAACATTATCTTTTAAGTAAGTAAGAATTTTACATAGAATCTTTCAAGTCCTCGGTGGCCGCGTGGTTAAGGCGTTAGGACTTTACGCTGCTATAGACTTTGGAGCCGTAGTAAGGCAGGTTCGAATCCTAGTCAAGGCGACTTTTTTTAATCGTTTTTTTTAATTTTTACATATCTACATATTTATTTTTACTTTTTACATATTTATTATTGATTAATAGAATTTTTAGTAATGTTTCTTCATTTTTTTTTAAATTACTTATACGCGCATTCAAAATTTCAGCTAAATCGGAAAAAAGTTTATAATAATATAGTGTCTAATGTTGTATAGATAATGAATGGTACGGAACCCTTCGTGCGCGAGTCCGGTGCGCGAGTCCGACTCGCACTTGACCAATTTTTTCAGATATTTTAAGAACCGTTATTCCGCATTGAATGAGATTTTGGGTGTCTATGTTTTGCTAAGTGCTTTAATCAATCATAATATGTAAATATTAGAAGTATAGAATAATATTAGAAGTATAGAATAGAAACTATTTGAAACAGAGTTTACCAAAAATACTTTTTATAGCTACTACTGGGTAAATGAATTTCTAGTATAGATGACTTTTTTTGAAACTTTAGTTTCGGAGATATTAATTTAATCGGACCTTTTAAAAAAATTAATTTTTTTTCAGAAACTATTTGAAACGGAGTTTACCAAAAATACTTTTTATAGCTACTACTGGGCAAATGAATTTCTAGTATAGTATGACTTTTTTTGAAACTTTAGTTTCGGAGATATAAATTTAATCGGACCTTTTAAAAAAATTAATTTTTTTTCAGAAACTATTTGAGACAGAGTTTACCAAAAATTGTTTTTATAACTACTACTGTGTAAATGAATTTCTAGTATAGTATGACTTTTTTTGAAACTTTTTAGTTTCGAGATATAAATTAATCGGACCTTTTTAAAAATTAATTTTTTTCAGAAACTATTTGAGACAGAGTTTACCAAAAATTGTTTTTATAACTACTACTGTGTAAATGAATTTCCTAGTATAGTATGACTTTTTTTGAAACTTTAGTTTCGGAGATATAAATTTAATCGGACCTTTTAAAAAAATTAATTTTTTTTCAGAAACTAGCCCCCAGAAACAGAGTTTACCAAAAATTGTTTTTATAACTACTACTGTGTAAATGAATTTCTAGTATAGTATGACTTTTTTTGAAACTTTAGTTTCGGAGATATAAATTTAATCGGACCTTTTAAAAAAATTAATTTTTTTTCAGAAACTATTTGAGACAGAGTTTACCAAAAATTGTTTTTATAACTACTACTGTGTAAATGAATTTCTAGTATAGTATGACTTTTTTTGAAACTTTAGTTTCGAGATATAAATTTAATCAGGACCTTTTAAAAATTAATTTTTTTCAGAAACTATTTGAGACAGAGTTTACCAAAAATTGTTTTTATAACTACTACTGTGTAAATGAATTTCTAGTATAGTATGACTTTTTTTGAAACTTTAGTTTCGGAGATATAAATTTAATCCGACCTTTTAAAAAAATTAATTTTTTTTCAGAAACTATTTGAGACAGAGTTTACCAAAAATTGTTTTTATAACTACTACTGTGTAAATGAATTTCTAGTATAGTATGACTTTTTTTGAAACTTTAGTTTCGGAGATATAAATCTAATCGGACCTTTTAAAAAATTATTTTTTTTTCAGAAACTATTTGAAACAGAGTTTACCAAAAATACTTTTTATAGCTACTACTGGGCAAATGAATTTCTAGTATAGTATGACTTTTTTTGAAACTTTAGTTTCGGAGATATAAATTTAATCGGACCTTTTAAAAAAATTAATTTTTTTTCAGAAACTATTTGAGACAGAGTTTACCAAAAATTGTTTTTATAACTACTACTGTGTAAATGAATTTCTAGTATAGTATGACTTTTTTTGAAACTTTAGTTTCGGAGATATAAATTTAATCGGACCTTTTAAAAAAATTAATTTTTTTTCAGAAACTATTTGAAACAGAGTTTACCAAAAATACTTTTTATAGCTACTACTGGGCAAATGAATTTCTAGTATAGTATGACTTTTTTTGAAACTTTAGTTTCGGAGATATAAATTTAATCGGACCTTTTAAAAAAATTATTTTTTTTTTCAGAAACTATTTGAAACAGGGTTTACCAAAATACTTTTTTATAGCTACTACTGGGCAAATGAATTTCTAGTATAGTATGACTTTTTTGAAACTTTAGTTTCGAGATATAAATTTAATCGGACCTTTTAAAAAAAATTAATTTTTTTCAGAAACTATTTGAAACAGAGTTTACCAAAAATACTTTTATAGCTACTACTCGGCAAATGAATTTCTAGTATAGTATGACTTTTTTGAAACTTTAGTTTCGGAGATATAAATTTAATCGGACCTTTTAAAAAAATTAATTTTTTTCAGAAACTATTTGAAACAGAGTTTACCAAAAAATACTTTTTATAGCTACTACTGGGCAAATGAATTTCTAGTATAGTATGACTTTTTTTGAAACTTTAGTTTCGAGATATAAATTTAATCGGACCTTTTAAAAAAATTAATTTTTTTCAGAAACTATTTGAGACAGAGTTTACCAAAATAGTTTTTTATAACTACTACTGTGTAAATGAATTTCTAGTGTAGTATGACTTTTTTGAAACTTTAGTTTCGGAGATATAAATTTAATCGGACCTTTTAAAAAATTAATTTTTTTTCAGAAACTATTTGAAACAGAGTTTACCAAAAATACTTTTTATAGCTACTACTGGGCAAATGAATTTCTAGTATAGTATGACTTTTTTGAAACTTTAGTTTCAGGAGATATAAATTTAATCGGACCTTTTAAAAAATATTTTTTTCAGAAACTATTTGAGACAGAGTTTACAAAAATACTTTTTTATAGCTACTACTGGGCAAATGAATTTCTAGTATAGTATGACTTTTTTTTGAAACTTTAGTTTCGGAGATATAAATTTAATCGGACCTTTTAAAAAATTATTTTTTTCAGAAACTATTTGAAACAGAGTTTACCAAAAAAATACTTTTATAGCTACTACTCGGCAAATGAATTTCTAGTATAGTATGACTTTTTTGAAACTTTAGTTTCGAGATATAAATTTAATCGGACCTTTTAAAAAATTAATTTTTTTCAGAAACTATTTGAAACAGAGTTTACCAAAAATACTTTTTATAGCTACTACTGGCAAAATGAATTTCTAGTATAGTATGACTTTTTTTTTGAAACTTTAGTTTCGGAGATATAAATTTAATCGGACCTTTTAAAAAAAATTAATTTTTTTCAGAAACTATTTGAGACAGAGTTTACCAAAAATAGTTTTTATAACTACTACTGTGTAAATGAATTTCTAGTGTAGTATGACTTTTTTTGAAACTTTAGTTTCGGAGATATAAATTTAATCGGACCTTTTAAAAAAATTATTTTTTTTTTCAGAAACTATTTGAAACAGAGTTTACCAAAAATACTTTTTATAGCTACTACTGGGCAAATGAATTTCTAGTATAGTATGACTTTTTTTGAAACTTTAGTTTCGGAGATATAAATTTAATCGGACCTTTTAAAAAAATTAATTTTTTTTCAGAAACTATTTGAAACAGAGTTTACCAAAAATACTTTTTATAGCTACTACTCGGCAAATGAATTTCTAGTATAGTATGACTTTTTTTGAAACTTTAGTTTCGGAGATATAAATTTAATCGGACCTTTTAAAAAAATTAATTTTTTTTCAGAAACTATTTGAGACAGAGTTTACCAAAAATAGTTTTTATAACTACTACTGTGTAAATGAATTTCTAGTATAGTATGACTTTTTTGAAACTTTAGTTTCGAGATATAAATTTAATCGGACCTTTTAAAAAAATTTTTTTCAGAAACTATTTGAGACAGAGTTTACCAAAAATACTTTTTTATAACTACTACTGGGCAAATGAATTTCTAGTATAGTATGACTTTTTTGAAACTTTAGTTTCGAGATATAAATTTAATCGGACCTTTTAAAAATTATTTTTTTTCAGAAACTATTGAAACAGAGTTTACCAAAATACTTTTTTATAGCTACTACTGGGCAAATGAATTTCTAGTATAGTATGACTTTTTTGAAACTTTAGTTTCGAGAGATATAAATTTAATCGGACCTTTTAAAAAATTAATTTTTTTTCAGAAACTATTTGAAACAGAGTTTACCAAAATACTTTTTATAGCTACTACTGGGCAAATGAATTTCTAGTATAGTATGACTTTTTTTGAAACTTTAGTTTCGAGATATAAATTTAATCGGACCTTTTAAAAAATTAATTTTTTTCAGAAACTATTTGAGACAGAGTTTACCAAAAATAGTTTTTATAGCTACTACTGGGCAAATGAATTTCTAGTATAGTATGACTTTTTTTGAAACTTTAGTTTCGGAGATATAAATTTAATCGGACCTTTTAAAAAATTATTTTTTCAGAAACTATTTGAGACAGAGTTTACCAAAAATGGTTTTTATAACTACTACTGTGCAAAATGAATATCTAGTATAGTATGACTTTTTTGAAACTTTAGTTTCGA